GTTGTTGTAGCTACAAGTAGAGCTGCAACAACTATATATATATATTCTACTGAGTCGGCAAACGTTGTTTTACCTTATATATTAAAATGGTTATTAAAAAATAGGGGTTAATGATAGAAGGGTGAAAATTTAGAGTTGTGTATATTTTTCAATGCTAAATCATAGTTAAATAGAAATAAAAATAATTGTCGAAAAATTGAAAAAAAAAATTTTTGGGTGATTAACCCTTAACATTTAGGGGTACAAAAATTATATTATATTTAATAATTATAATCCTATTCTCAGACCTATTGAATATAAAAAATCATCAAAGTCAGTGCGCCTTTCCGGAGATGTAAAAAGAAACCTGTTACACGAGAATCTTATATATTAGGCATAAGGCTCAGTTTAATTTTCCGTTTGAATCTCTGAAAAAGATAAAAGTTCATGTTTATTATTAATATTGAAAAAGTGGGTAGTTATAAATTCGTCGATAATTAACATAACCAAGTCTCGTACAAAAGGAATCTACACTCACATTTTTATAGCATTTCGAAAGTGTACCTCACTTTCGAAATGCTATAAAAATGTATATTATAAAATAGCTGTATCATGAACATATTGAGACTGGGAGGAGTGATCGCCTCGGGGCTCAATACTGCAGGGCTGTTTACGCAAAAAGATATATAGACACCATAGCTCCCAGCGTTCACTTACTGCAGGGATGGATGCGGAGATATGGACCAATTTTGGGATATCGCCCTAACTCTGCGTTTACGACGTAAACTCCTTTCCGATATTCTACAATATTTTCTAAAGAGCATATGAAATTGTCGAAGAAAATAACTAATTCCTTGATTAAATATTTCATTATTACGTAATCTTAATAAAATAGTACCTATATACATATAAATAAAATTGGAGTGTCTGTTTGTAATATTGAAATAACCGTTTTTTACTACATGCATATGATATATAAATACGGTAAATACACCAAATAAACATTTTTTACAATTTCTGTCTGTCTGTCTGATTGTTCCGGCTAATCTCTGAAATGACTGGACCGATTTTGACGGGACTTTTATTGGCAGGTAGCTGATGTACTAGGAGTAATTTAGTCTACATTTATTTTAGAAAGATAAATTTCACGCGGACGAAATCGCGGGTACAGCTAGTTAATAAATAATAATTATCCTTTTTCTATTATTATGGTTGTAAATAGTTATATTTGACCCAAAAAATTAGTGCTTGTTGGTAGTTTGTATTCACACGTTTCGACTTGTAAATGTAAACTTACAAGGATTATTTAAAAGAGCAACACACAAGTTTCTTGCTCGTTCTTCTTGTGATGAGACAGCTTTCCGAACGAGTGGTAGATAAAAATCAAATTGTTATGACTGTTCAAAAGTGTTTAAATTAAGTTTATTTGAATAAATGATTTTCTATTCTATTCGCTTTACTATTCGATGGTCGTGGGTTCGATTCCTCGCACGGTACAAACATTTGTATTCATAAGTATGATTGTTTGTATCAGTCTGGGTGTTTTCTATTTATATTATATTCTCTATGTATATTTTTTTATGGATTATAATCGAATGGTGCATCCGCTTGGGCTAACGGTTTACGCTGGCGCGGCACCAGTGGAGGGTGATAAGATGAACATGAGATCAGGTCAGTTAGCATATCGTGACAAATTCACTAAGAATTAATATATTCTTAATTTAACCAAACTAAAAGATAAATTTCTAAATAATATTAAAATAATATTTTAATACATTTAATTGAATCAATATAATGATGTAAACACATTAGAAAATCCTACAGCTGTACCTTCAAAGGCACAACTTACGCAATTAAAAAAGGAAATGTTTGTTATTAATTCCATAAAAAAAAGGTGCCTAAAGAAATAATTATCAGCGAGGAAATTACGGACTGTAATTATAAAAACCGCAGCAATAAAAACTGTTACAATACCAAGAAACCTACATAAAGCCACCGGAACAATTGCTGCCCTATTATCTGGAGGTGAAATAAGAAATACCCAACGTTTCTGCATTAAAACTGTTTCGTTGTTCTGAGCAGAATTAGGGTGAGCGTCAGGGTTGAACTTTACTAAATATCTATACATATAAATAAAATTGGAGTGTCTGTTTGTAATATTGAAATAACCCTTTTTTACTACTTGCATGTGAATATAAATACGGTACATATACCAAAATAACATTTGTTACAATTTTTGTCTGTCTGTTTGTTCCGGCTAATCTTTGTAATGGCTGGATGGGATTTGTTTTGGCAGGTAGCTGATGTAATAACGTAGGTTACATTTATTTTAGAAAATAAGGTTAAGTTACACGCGGACGAATTCACGGAAACAGCTAGTCCTCAATAACACACGAGCTGTATTCGCGACTACGTCCGTGTGGAATTTTACTTTATTTATCTAGTTTCAGTGAACGTGAAAAGTTCTTCAGTGAAAATGATTAATAATATCACGCAAAATATCTACCTCTAGCCGTTCCGAAACCAAGCCATAACGCAGCGAAATAGTTTAATATGTAAGAATAAAATGTGTTTATGAGACAATGTTTGGGAAACTACTCTGCTACCAAAATGTTAGGAAAGCGTCAGTCATTTACCTGTATGGTTCTGCGGATTTCTTGGGCTTCAGGGTCTCGAAGGTATCTTCGCTAGCTTTCCAGCTTCACAGTAGGTTAACACAGTTCTAATTTATTTCAATTCACAACACAATGCGCGCGCGCGTCAAGGCCGCCGTACAGTCGGTTCAGTACTAGATAAGGGAGGGGAAGGAAAGACGCGGGAACAGAAAACTAACGGACTCTAATATAATAATCTGTGCTTACGATGGTATAGGGTAGATTTTGAACAGACAAGAAAACTTTGAGTTGGCAACCCTAGTGATCGCCCCAGTATTTCTTCATTCGGTAGATGCAAATTTACCGACGTCCTGCCGAGTAATGACGCCAATTCGACTGAATATATTACGAGTAAATCAAGAATTATTCCCTCATAGATTTCGGGAATATTCCCGTTGCTTCAGCTTAATCAAATAATACCAAAATAAATATACGCGTTTCAAAGCGTTCCATAATTTAGTGATTTTTCGGTGATGTGTTTGCTTTCCAACAGTAATAGGTAATCTATTTATATTTTGATTAATAAAAACTAAAAACTGTTTTATATACTGTACCTATATTTTGTGATATTCTTTCTATAGAACAAAATATGTTCAATAGATTCTTTGATTTGATTAACTAAAATGTGTTCATTATACTTGAGCGGTATATATAGAAACTAATTTCAAACAATTCAGCTAGGTAGGTCCAATTTCGAGAACTCTTTCTCGTCAATCGCGTTCGGGAAGCTACAATATATCTTTTCGTCCAGATAACCGCAGTGTCTCAAGACGAAGGTTTACGACCAATGTGTGTTGCCAGTGATGACTTACAGCACAGAGACGTGGTCGCTAACTATGGGCCCCATGAACAAGCTCAGAGGGCGATGAAGAGGGCTATGCTCGGAGTTTATCTGCGTGATCGAATCAGAAATGCGGAGATCCGCAGAAGAACCAGAGTGACCGACATAGCCCGAAGAATTGCAAAACTGAAGTGGCAATGGGCAGAGCACATAGCTCATAGGACAGATGACCAGTGGCGACCGCGGACCAGAAGACGCAGTGTGGGAAGGCCTCCAGCAAGGTGGATTGACGATCTGGTCAAGATCGCTGAAAGGCATTGGATGCGAGGAGCGCAGGACCGATCGTCGTGGAGATCTTTGAGGGAGGCCTATGTCCAGCAGTGGACGTCTTCGGCTGCGATGATGATGATGATGATGATGATATTTTAGTCATATTTTTTCTGTAGAACGAAAAATGTAGAATTAAACATGTTTATTAATGTAACAAAAATATGTTTATTATTGTTTATTAGACGCTCAATGTTTTGAAACTCATTTCATAAACACGAAAAAAATAAATATTACAATGACTAAACTGAAAAAATATTATATATTTTATAAATTACTATATTACTGAGTAGCCTATAATATTATTGTAAGATGATTCAGCTTTTTTCTATAATTATTACATTAACATTCAAACTTATAATTTAAAAGAATTATGGATTGGGTGAATTTCGAACAATGAGCGACTAGAGTATGAATAAAAGTTTTTCTTTCTTTTTTCCTTGTTTCTAATAAAAAAGAGACACCTACAATCATCGCACAAATGTGAAACTAAAGCGGTTGGATAGTCATTTTTTTTTTATATAATGATGGAATAATACACCCGCCTGTGCTAACGGTTTACATGGCCGAGCCGTCAGTTCATTCGTTCATAATTTAATAGCTACGCTCTTGTCGGTGGAGCTCTTCCCACTACAGGCCTCAGTGGAGGATGATAAATTGAATATTAGTCAGTTAGCCCATCTTGGCAAACGGCAATATACCACGATGGTTTCCAGAGAAAACCGCGTGGAAGTCACCCTGACGTAATACATTGCTAGTAATTGGGGTTATTCAAATTCAAAATATCTTTATTCATGTAGGTCTATTACAGACTTTTATGATATGTCAAATCTACCGTCAGTTCGGAATGATTTCGATATGAGAAGAACTGACAGGAAACTCAGCTCGTATTTTTTTAAATAATACTGGAACATGTTTATAATAATACACAGTCATTAAAGTTCAAATTTGGGAGAATAGAGTGAACACCAGTTCGAAATGATTTCGATATGAGAAGAACTGACAAGATTGAAAACTCAGCTCGTATTTTTTTCAAATAAATGTTGAGATAATAATTAATATATCTCACGACAATTCACACAGCGCCATCTAGATTGAAAACTCAGACAACTCATGGATATTTTTTTTTCGTAAATAAATACATATTATACATAGAAAACACCCAGACCGATACAAACAATCAAAAAAAAATGTTTATTTCATATTCAATTGGATTTAGTTATTGGATAGTAGTTAATAAAAATAACATTTGTTCACAGTTGTATGGCAAGAGTGGCGAGTCCGCGTTACGTCCACACAAGCTGAGGCCGGCGGGCCAGCTCTACTTACGTGCGTGGTGCCGGCAGCGCTGCGGGAGCACGCATCCGTCGCAGCCTGGTACAGAAACGATGCTGTACTGCCCGCTGCAGACCATCTATGTAAGTCGATATTGATATGTAATAACTTTACAATTGACAGAGTGGTCTAATGGGAGAGCATCGTAGTCTAGTTGGAGAGCGTCTTGGGCTAGCGAGAGAGCGTCATGTCTAATAGGAGAGCGTTATGATTTAGTGGAAGAGCGTCACGGTGTAATGGGAGAGTATCGTTATAGCTTTCTACTGTGACTTATAAATACCAAAGATCAAGAGTTTCAATCTGGCCAAGACCAAATAAACTACAGTTGTTAATTGACACATAAACAGATCAAATTAACATGGTGCTGTTTTGAATTTTGCGCATTTTCAAAATATAATCTGGGAAATATGAAACTTATTATATTTATATTTCTTCTGACTTCAATTGTTTAGCTGATACTAATATAACTACCCCATGGAACTCCATGGGGTAGTTATATTCTCATGATATTTGTAATTTGAACTTGAATTTATTTTCTTTAACAGCGGGCTCCACGCTACTCGTTGGTGATGGATGGAAACTGATAGTGCGGTCAGTAGGCATCGAGGACTCAAACGCACAGTACTCGTGTTCGGTTCTGGACTCGTTAACTGGCGAGCGGCGGCAGAGCGCGCCAGTCAGCATCGACGCTTCCCGTGAGTATAAATAACATTGTCTTTAGCTGTTTTTCAAGTTCTGGATAGCTGTGTAAGTGTGTAAGTCCTAGTTATATTAGGAGGAGTAGGTAATGATAAGGTATCATGCCTTCGTAGGGCACGGCGGAACAGGATAGAAATGCCTAAAGAGATTTTTTTTTATAACACATGGGACAAACGAGCATTCGGCTCACCTGATGGTAAGTGATTATCGCCGCCCATAAGCACCCGCAACACCAGGGGAATTGCAAGTACTTTGTTGGCCTTTTAAAAAGGAATAAGCTCTTTTCTTGAATATTTCAATATCGTATCGGTTCGGAAATATCATTGCTGGAAGGTGATTCCACAATGAGGTTGTGCGTGGCAAAAAGTTTCTATAAAACTGCACTGTGGAGGACCGCCATTCACCCAGATCCAGATGATTAGGATGGTAGTTTAGTTTCTGGCGGGTGGTACGGTGATGAAACTCAGCAGCTGGTATTAATCCGATCAATTCCTAAGAACACTCCCCATGATATATGCGAGATGCAATATCTCGCCGCAAAGCCAATAGATCGATTCGATTGGAAGAAGCATTCCTGGTGGTCATGACCACTCAGTCTTGAGGAATTGACAAAGAAGATTAACTTCCTGACATTTTCAGCTATGAGCGTGGCGTCAGCTCCTCGCTCCATCACGCATGGCCAGTGGGAGGCAAGCGTGAGACGTGGTGGTGACGTCGCACTGCCTTGCTTGGTGCACGCCAGTCCGCCAGCGTCTATCACGTGAGTACATAATTATAGGACTAATAACTGTAACAAACATTTCATTAACATAAAAAAAATTGTAAATACTGAAACTGGTCACATCATAGTTTAATTTCAGCCATGATGTGACCAGTTTTGAGTCAATATATAAAAGTGAGTCCGCAAATACGTGAATAAATTTCTTTCTGAATATTAATTCAAAAAAGAAATTTTGATTTATATTGACGGGAAAGGGATGAAATTTAAACCTTTCATCCCTTCTTCAAAAGGGTCTAAAAACGCCTCTTTTCAAAAATAACTCGATAATAGTAAGAAATATGAAAAAATATTTTAAAAAAAGTTGCGGAGAAAAAAATCTGCATAAAATAGGTCTTTATAGTTTTTCATTATCTGCCACAAAATTTAACATGTTTTAACATTTTTTCATATTCCTTACCGTTATCAAATTGTTTTGAAAAGAGGCATTTTCTACATTTTTTTTTTACTTTTACATCCTTAACATGTATATATATATATCATCATCATCATCATCATCTCAGCCCGGAAGACGTCCATAGCTGAACAAAGGCCTCTCCCAAAGATCTCCACGACGATCGGTCCTGCGCTGCTCGCATCCAATGCCTTCCAGCGATCTAGACCAGTCTACCTCGCTGGAGGCCTTTCCACGCTACGCCTTTCGTTCCGCGGTCGCCACTCGAGGACTTTACTGCCCCAACGGCTATTTGTCGTACGAGCTATGTGCCTTGGCCATTGCCACTTCAGTTGTGCAATTCTTCGGGCTATGTCGGTCACTCTGGTTCTTATGCGGATCTCGGAGTTTCTCTGCGTGATCAAATCAGAAATAACTGATTCGATCACGCAGAGAAACTCTGAGCATAGCCCTCTCTATTGCCCTCTGAGTGACTCTAAGCTTATTCATGAGGCCCACAGTTAGCAACCATGACTCTGTGCCGTAAGTTTATTTATATAACTTCCTTTATAATATTTGAAATGAATAAATATATGTAATCGTTCGATGATTTCCATGCTCCATGGTATACAAATAAATGGCATTATTGAAATAATACGATGGAAAGCAGAACAAACAAACATTGTATAAGTAGTAAGCTTATAATAATAGAAAAACTCAGTTATGCTTGTGATTTTCCCTCTATTTATTGGTTACTTATACTTTCCCGGAACTTTTATATCGGGGTAAAGAACGAGTTGTATTTATTCGCCTAATTTGAGTATATTATATGACTTTTATTGTTACACTAATAACGCGCTACGTTTTAACATGTTAATGTTAACTTCTTTTTGCTGAATAAATATATATTATTATTATAAAAAATAGATAAGTGAAAGAGAGAGGTACATACGTTCCCAGTCGACTTTCTACTCCTTTCTAAAGCCTCCCTCTGGTAAACTATTGCTGAGTATCTACTACATAAGAGTTCATTAGGTTGCTTTGCCGCTGGTAGCCTGGTAACGCCTCCCCCGGGACACGTTGGGTCAGCCGATGCTGTACATTTGCGCATTACACCACATCCCGCAGATGTACGAGAATATAGAGTTATTTATTATGATTAGTGGTCATTTTTATAAATAATTATTTATTTATTTAAACTTTAAGGCACAAATTTTAAAGTACATATGGCGGACTTATCACCTTGCGGTGTTATCTACCAGGCAACCATAGGTGGTGCAGAGAATAATTGTTGGTGATGAAAATATAAATATATTGAATGACTAGCTTTTGCCCGCGGTTTTGCTCGCGTTAATTTATCCCCTTAGAAGTGGAATTTATCAAAATGCTTTCTTAGGAGATGCCTAAGTCATAGTAGCTTTATGCATGCAAAGTCTCAGCCCGATTGGTTTAAAATTGACAAAGTTTCATACAAACTTTCGTACCCTATTTTATCCCCTTGGGGGTAGAATTAATCAAAATCATTTCTTAGCAGATGTCTACGTCATAATATCTACCGGCATGCCATATTTCACCCCGATCCGTCCAGTGGTTTGGGCTGTGCGTTGATAAATCACTATGTCAGTAACCTTTGAGTTATATATATATATATAGATTTATTAGGTGTCCGTTCTTAGAGTCTAAACTATCTGAGTGCCAAATTTCTTTTAAATGGGTTCAATAGTTTTGATGTGAAAGCGAGACAGACAGACAGTTACTTTCGAATTTATAATATTATTAATAAATAATAATAATAAAGACATTTATTCAGCATTACAGTATTCTTAGATGCTATCTATCTTATATACTATACAACTTAAAAGCTAAAACATACTAGTAACACTGAACGTGACTCCCACTCAGCATTTATACTGCAGTATTCATATACCACAGCGCTGATTTTCAGTGGGGCCACCATACACGAGAGAGCGTACGTAAAGATAACTAAAGAAAATCATCATCATCATCATCATCATCGCAACCCGGAAGACGTCCACTGCTGGACATAGGCCTCCCCCAAAGATCTCCACGACGATCGGTCCTGCGCTGCTCGCATCCAATGCCTTCCAGCGATCTTGACCAGATCGTCGGTCCACCTTGCTACAGAAAATAAAAAGAAAAAGAACTAAATTTAATTAATGTATGTAGTAAACTTTGTATATTATTTAAGTAGGTATATTGTTATGTAATGATATATATATATTAGAATAATATTTAAATATATAACGTACATAAATGAAGGAAGGAATTAGGATTTCTTTCCCTCTCTATATAAACCATTTTCATTGCTGCTAAATGCTGATAAATAAGGGGAGAGAGTGAAAAGACTGTTAGTAATGTGGACCAATAACCCTATTTCTACCAATATACCATATCAAATTGACCTCCTGAAATGATTGCCACCTTCGTGTGTAAAGAAAAATCCGTCAAACTTAGTATTTCTTATTTACAATATTATCTGATTACACTAATAATGAGTGCTTAGCGATTTCTATATTGATTATCGCATGCCTCTTACTTTGTTATACTATAATTATTTATATAAAAAAACATCTATTAAAAAGAGCAACACACAAGTTTCTTGCTCATTCTTCTTGTGATGAATCTGCATTCCTAATGAGTGGTAGAATCAAAATATGACTATTCAAAAGTGCTTGTAATGAGTTTATTTGAATAAAGATTATTTCTATTTCTATTTCTATTTCAAGTGGCTCCACTGAAAATCAGCGCTGTAGTGACATGCTGCGGCACCAGCTGAGTGGAAGCCTTTTCAGCATAGACGATTATAAGTATTTAAGTTTTCTTTTCTACTCTGTACTCTTTTTTATGCTGAATAAATGATTATTACTATTAATATTGCACAAGTCAATATTGAGATATTTTTGGCAAGATAACTTTGAAGTTACTGAAACTTTAAAACTTAAGCTTTAAAAGTTTGTTTAAGTTTTAAAGTTACAGTAACTTCGAATATGCACCGAGTTACTTCAAGATACGCTTGTTCCATCGGTACATCTTTGACAGCAACGATTTTCGAAACTAGCAATACTGCGTCTCACTTCATACTACTTACTTGTACAATAATGGATGATAATGGAATGGTGCAACCGCCTTTTTTATTTCTTTATTTTTTTGGGATATCCGTTATGGAGACCCTCTCCAGGAGTAACGAGCGAGTACTGTCGAACTCCTACCGGCTAAAACCCCAGTGGTACACCGCCTGCGCTAACGGTATACACTGGTGGGACATCAGTTGAGAATGTTATGATATGAGGTCAGGTCAGTTAGCACATCGTGGTGAGATTACTTGGTTTCCAGAGGGAACCGTGTGGAGATCGACCTGAGGACATATATTGTAAGTCCCATTACTAACAAAGTTCTTCCCACAATATATGTATTTTCAATATTCAAAATCATTGATTCTTGTAGAACATTTTAGCCGCTTATCAACATCAAGTTTTTACATTATATTTTTTTTCCTATAGTCCAGTACAGTATGTAGATACAATTGAGAAGAACTGGCAAGAAACTCAATTGAATTACTTTTTTTTTAAAAGCCAGTTTATTTGCAATGTATAGGTATTTATATAGGTGTCTATGTCTAACATTAAATGAAAATCCCGTGCATGAACAACTATTGCCATGCACGCTCGTCATTCAAGTAATCGTGTAGTGAATAATAGGCTATTGCTATTATATTGGTATATAAAAAAAAGGCATTAATATCAGTTGAAAAAAAGTATTTATGTAAGTAGTTATTCAGTGAGTTATGAGTAGTTATGAGTCAGTACTCATAACACTCACTCACTCACTCATGGGACTAGATGGCGCTGTGTACATTGTTCAGGAATATATATATATATATATATATTAATATAAGTTTGAACATTATTATGGTTCGGATGTTACAGACTATATTTGTGTGCATAATTTTTTTTATTTATTAAGAAATAATTTTCTTTGTTTAATTCTACGTGAAAATACATTTCTAAAAATATCAGCGTTCTGTCAATAAGCCATTATCCATTGTTATTTCCCATATGTCCAGGTATATATATATATATATATATTATTTAAGACACTAGTTTCACCTACTATTTGAGGTATAAATATATTCAGCACCATTTCGGCTAAACCTCGTAAAATGATGCACGTACTTAGCATCCGACTCTACCTACTCTGTACACTTAAGGCTGCATGTTCCTGACTTCTCTCCATAGAAAACGTAACATATGAAAATTTTCTATAATAACTAATTAAACTACATTCAATTTTATCTATCAATGTCACACAGTTTTCTATATATCTAACCCGATGGCTCTTTTGCTTAAATTGAATTACTACAAATAAATCTGACTGAATGAATGAATGAATTTTGAATTTAATTTTAAAAAGATGACGTTTCACACTATTCAACATTAATAATAATAATCTCAAGACAATTCACACAGCGCCATCTAGACCCAAGTGAAGCTAGCTAAAGCTTGTGTTATGAATACTACAATAGATAACTGATACATATACATAGATTTTTTTTTGTAAATACATTTATATTATACATAGAAAACACCCA